TCTACTCTGTAATACGTGGGATTGCCATGAGTCGGAATGGCCTTGATGGCAATGGATTTTGATTTGTTTTGTTTTGTTTTTTTCCCTTCCAAATATCCCCACTGCCTCACTCCTTGATCTCTCCCACCCCTGAGCCCCCAGATGGCAAGGAGCCAGGGGAAGCCAGGGAACAGGATTGTTAATTTGTTTTTCCTAAGCATTTTCTCACCCCTTCCACCTTCAGCAGCTGACATAGCTACTCAATGTCTCCAGTTGGATGGTCCAGCAGCCTTCTCCCACGGAGGGACGGGGGAGTGGGAGGGGCCGGCAGGGCAAGAGCTGGAGTCGTGGGCAGGGAGGCTTGGGAGCAATCAACCAATGGGGTGTCTGCCCGAGTCTGCCTTTCTTAGGATATCAATAAAGACAGAATTTTTTTAACTTTCTTTTATGAAAAATACTCAAACACGCATAAAAGTAAAAAAAGAAGAATATCGTGACCTGTGTATTCCATCACTCAGCATCAAGAATTACAACATTATGCAAATCTTTGTCTGATTTACCCTCCCTGTTGATTGACTGACTGATTTTTGCTGGAGCATTTTAAAGCAGAGATCTTACCATTTTGCTGTAAATACTTTATGATACAACTCTAAGGTATAAGGATTAAAAACACACACACACAATGCTACTTTATTTCAAGTAAATGTCTTCTAATACCCATTACGGGTTCTCTCAAAAATGCCTTTTAACGGTTTATTTATTTGCATTAGGAATCAGGATCTAGAGAACGTCCACACATGTTGCATTTGCTGATTGTCACGTGTTGCATTTGCTGATTGTGTTGTAAGAGCTTTAATAGATAACATTCCCCTTTTTCATGTTATTTATTTGCTTAAAGGTGGGGTCTTTTGTCCTATAGAATGTCCCACATACTGGATTTAACTGATTGCTTTCTCATTCCTTTATCTACATATTCCCTGAAAACTAGAAGTGAGATCTAGACTTGAGTTCAGACTTTTTTATCAGAACACTTCATAGGTAGTTCAATATTTTTTATTGCATCTCTTCAAAAGGCGCATAATTTCTGGTTGTCCCACTTTGATAGATACTAAGATGGATCAGTGGGTCCAGGTGTTGTCAGCCTCACCCACCCATTATAAAGTTCACCTTCAACTTTTCGTCTTATGTTTGTAGCATCCACTGATAATCTTTGCCTAGATCCAGTGTTTCATTCAGCCAGTAAAACCAGTTGCCATCAAGACCGACAAGTCACACAATAGCAACCCCATGTGTGTCAGAGCACAACGATCTTTCATTGGGTTTTCAATGGCTGATTTTTCGAAAGCAGATCACCAGGTTTTTTTTTCCCAAGATGCCTCTGAGTGGACTCAAATTTCTAAACTTTCAGTTAGCAGCCAAGCACGTTAACCATGTACATCACCCAAGGACTCCAAATGTTTCATTAACCTAAAAAAGAAATTGCCATCGAGGCGATTCCAATTCATAGGGACCAGATAGGACATGGTAGAGCTGCCCCTTGGGGTTTCCAAGGCTGTAATCTTTGCAGAAGCAGAATACCACATCTTTCTCCCACAGAGTAGTTGGTGGGTTGGAATTACCAACCTTAAGGTTAGCAGCCAAGTGCTTAACCACTGCACCACCAGGGCTTCTTAGTGTCCACTGGGGATTTGTCTTAGTTATAGCAACATTAAAATAATAGTTTGTTTGCTTTAACCTATAACATATACATTGTAGTTTCAAAGTAGCAGTAGCAATACTACCAACAACAAGATTACTGAATGCATTTTCAGATTTCTTTGCTTTTGTCTTTTTGTTCTTAGAAAATATCCCACTGTGAACGTAGAGTCGAAATTCTGCATTTTATAGTCAGTTGAAGTCAATTTTTTTTTTGCTCCACGTGGCTATGCCACCAGCTTGATAACAATTAGGCTCCTTTGTTTCAGTTTGTTTACAATTTCAAGGGACTTGTTTTTTAATTCTGTTTTCTTTTTTTATTCTAGATAACATTTACATGGTTGTAAAGTAACACTATAAAACAAGAAAGTCTTACTTCCATCCGTGCCCCTTCCCCTTAAGTAATGATTTTTATTAGTTTTTTGGTTTATTCAATTGTTTTCTTATTGAAAAAAATATATACATATATGTGTATCACACACACATGTCACAAAAAGTAACAAATTATAAACAGTGTTCTGCCCCACCTCCCTTTTTTATTTAACTAAACAATACACCCTGGAGATCCCCTCGTTCCTTTTCCATCTGTGTTCTCCTCTGTCCTGTGAATGCATTATAGTGTATTCAATAGTCTCCTACTGACGGACACTTTTGCAAAGTTTCTAATCTTTTGTTATTACCAGGGATGGATTATCCAACAGGCAGGGTAAGCACAGTGCTTACCTTGCTTACCAGATCACCTGTAGTGAACAGTTTCACGTTTTCTCACCACGTCAAAGATTCTGCTTCTAGCTAAGGCTGGCATCTGTCTCCCTCCCAACCCCACAGCAGCTTCCTACAGAATCAAAGCCTCTTTTCAAATGTGCAATCCCTGACAGGGACAGAGGACCCAGTAAGCAAGGTAAGTACAGGCTTGCTTACTAGGTAATCTGCCCCTGGTTATTACAAATTATGTTGCAATGAATAGTTTATATATATATCTTTTTGTATTTTTACCAGTGTCTCTTTGGGGTAGAAGGAGAAAGGTTGAGTTAAAGGGCATATACCCTTTGCCATCAAATCGATTCCGACTCACAGCAACCCTATAGGACAGAATAGAACTGTCCCGTAGGGTTTCCAACGGGCAGCTTGTGGATTCAAACTACAGACCTTTTGTTTAGCAGCCGTAGCTCTTAACCATTGCACAACCAGGGCTCCTTTAAAGGGCATTAACCCGTTGCCATGGAGTCAATTTCGACTCATAGCGACCCTATAGGACAGAGTAGAACTGCCCCATAGGGTTTCCAAGGAGCACCTGGTGGATTTGAACTGCCAACCTTTTTTTGGGTTAGCAGCTGAGCTCTTAACCACTACACCACCAGGGTTTCCTTAAAGGGAACAGGCGTGTGTAATTTTGCTAGACATCATCCAAAGAGGTTGAACCACCAAAATGGAATTTTATTGACCTGCAAAATGAGGAGTGAAATGCAGAGACTACACCCCTAATCAACCTCCCAGGCCTGGGCCCCAGGGCAGCTCTCGGTGGCTTTAGGTAGAAACAGGCTTGGACTGGATCTCACTCACAAACACCAAGCCCCAGAAGTCCTGGAAGAAGCCATAAAATTCCATTTTCTTTGTCTGGAATAATACCACATCGCAGGCTGAGCAGAAGCTCTGGGTGATTGGTTTTGGTCTTCTTTGATTGATAAGACACTTAAAAATGAATCATTCCTTTATACGTTCAGCTTGGCAGACAAAATGTTTCAAGGCACGGAGTCTGTAGGGACGGGGTTGAGGGGGGCAAATAATAGCAAGCGCTCAGCATGTGGAAGTTATTGTTAAGGTCATTGGTTTATCTGACTCTGGTGATTTTTCTTGACAGGTGGAAGGAAAATGAATGCGGTTAAGATACAGTCAATCTCTTAGTCATTCATTCAACCAACATGCATTGAACGCTCTGGGCCAGAAATAAACACATGTTCAGCCTAACAGTCTGAATCCAGCCCACAATTGCCTTAGGTTCGGCCCACGCAGTGTTTTTGAAAAAAAAAATTAATTCGTTGCTAACATTTAATAATCAGAGTATTTCACATAAATATCAGACTTCCTACTTCTCTCGAAAACTTGGCCGGCCGAGGAGGCATCCCTGGCCCACCTTTCGTCAGAGCACCTGCTGATTGGAGCTGAGTAGCGGCTGCCCCCTTGTGGCAGGACACGTCCTCCATGTTGCCCATACAGCCCTGGCAGCCATTTCCTTTGCCTCCTGGGTCCCCAGTTTGTGAGCCCTGCCCTAGACTGCGCTGGAGGCAGTGGTGGTTCAGTGAGAGAATTCTCACCTTCCACATGGGAGACCCAGGTTCAATTCCCGGCCAATGCACTTCATGCGCAGCTACAACCCAGTGGAGGCTTACAAGCTGTTGTGATGCTGCGCAGGTTTCAGTGTAGTTTCCAGATTAAGCCAGGCCAGGAAGAAAGGCCTGGTGATCTACTTCCAAAAATCAGTGAATGAAAACCAACCAGTCATGGGGATGGTGCAGGACTGAGCAGCATTTCATTCTGTTGTCATGGGACTCCCATGAGCCAAGGGCCAACTAGCTGGCAACAAATAACAACAACAAGCCCTAAACTGCAAACTCCCTAAAGGCAAGGACTGCGCGTCTTATTTGGCTTTGACTGCACAGGATGCAGCCCAGTTTCCAACACCCAGTGAGTCCTCAGTAAATATTTGTTAAACGAATAAAATATCTTTTGAATGCATGCATCAAATCATTTCCAATATGAAAATTGTGCAGTTGTCATACTGCCCTAGTCTAAACCTTTGAAGCAGATTGGCAACACACGTGTCCCTGATCTGGATTATCCCACCACCTAAATCCATTCATGTCAATGGGTTGCCCCACGAGGTCTTCACTCAGCAATTTGATCTTTCCCCTCTAAATGAGGAAAGCAATGCATACCTTCCAAGGGCACGGGGAAGACTGCATGAGATTGTAAATGTCAAACCCTTATTTTGTGTCTGACCCTTATTTTTTATCACAGTTTTGGCTGTGCTTTTATCTCCAAGATAGCCATAGTCTTCCCACTCTTTGCTAGACCACGTGGCTTTTTTTGTTTTTTTTCCAGCCAAGCCCGAAGGAAGAAATTACAGTTGAAATCTCTGTATCCTCAGAATTTTATGAGTCTTCTGGTTTGCTTTTTTTTTTTTTTATGGCTTGCATTTCTTATCAAGTCCCATTCGAAGCCCTCGAGGGGAGAATTGGGACAGGTGACAGTATATACAGGGAGTAGCTTCCAAGAGCCACCACCATTTAGACCTCACTCTTTCCTGAGTGCTTTGGCTCCAGGAAGGAAACATGAAGTGGATTTTGGTCCTTGGGTTGGTGGCCCTCTCGGAGTCCTTAATCACGTAAGTACGGGGACTGCATGCTCATGACATGAGCTCTCTTTCTGGCCTCTTTTTCTTATTCTTCCACCACATCTAGGTGTGCAGAAGGAAATGTAATCATTTCTTGGGCATCTTAAAAAGCCTCCAGTTATTGATGAGTAGCCATGTGCACAGCGAGGCTCAAGGGTCTTGGGGCAGGCCTATAGGGCTGCATAATCCAGGGCACCGGTCACAGTCATGGGCGATGTGGACAACGCTCCCTGGAATTGTTCAGTGCATAACCTGTGCAACGGCAGGCATGGGCCTGTCTAGGAACAGTGCTTCTCCCACCTTTGCTTCTAGGGCTTCTCTCTGCTCTCTCTCTGTTTCTGCGTGTATGTGTCTCTGGGTCTCCACCTCTGCTCTCTCTATGTCTCTCTTTGGATATCCCTGGGTGGCACAAATGGTTAAGCGCTCCACTACTAACCCAAAGGTTGGAGCTTTGAATCCACCCAGAGACGCCTCAGAAGAATAGCCTGGCAATCTGCTTCCGAAAGGTCACGGCCTTGAAAACCCTATGAAGCAGTTCTACTCTGCACAGATGGGGTCACCATAAGTCGCAATTGACTTGACAGCAACTCGTTTGGTCTGGTTTGTTTGCTTGTTTGTTTGGTCTATGCGGGACTCCTCATTTCTCTGTTTTTACTTTCTCTCTCTGTCTGTCTCTCTCTCTCCTCTCTCTTTTCTCTACCCTCTTCATTTCCCTAGTTTACTCCCCATTTCAACGCCCCTGAGGTTTCTCATTTCTTGGCTTCCTCTCTCACCCCTTTTTTCTGGTTGAACCCTGGAAAGAGATCAGGAGATCTGCTTCTAGGTTCAGTTTTGCCACTAACAAGCGGTGTGACTGCAGCCGAACCCCAAACTCTCTGCACTCAGATTCCTCTGCTGTAAAAAGACGATTATGACCCTGCTCTGTCTCCCTCCTTAGGGCTGCTTGGAGATGACAGTAGCAATAGTAATGGCTGTCATTACTGAGATCTACTGTATGTCAGGAGTACTGTATCCTTCACCTCAATTAAAATACTCCAAACATTCTATATGAGGGCAGTATTACTATCCTGCCTTTTTACAGACAGGGAAACTTGGCCATGACTTGCCCGTGACTGTACAACAGAACCCGGGATCAAACCTAGGTGCATTACTCTGATCTTTCCATTGCGCTGGGTGGCTTATCTTGATCCTGAGAAAAAGCTCACAAAAATGCAATTCCGATGGGGGGTGCAGCATCTGATTGCTATCTCTGCCCTGTTTTCTGTTAAAGGATCCCTTTGCAAAAGATCCAACCATTGCGAGAGAGGCTCAGGGAGAAAGACCTGCTGAAAGATTTCCTGGAGAAGAGTCCTTACAACTTAATCTCTAAGTATCTGGGCAGACTGCAGATGATGGAAGTGTCTTATGAACCTCTGAGGAACTACCTGGATGTGAGTGTGGTGGGAAGGCAGTGCTCCAGAGCACCCCCTAGGGCTCCTGTCAAGTATTGAGATTCATCTAGGGGTGGGGCCCAGGATGCTCTGGCAGGGACCCCTGCAGCCCTCTTCCCAGTAGAGAAGACGTCCTACCCTCATTGCTGGTCTGTGGTGACCAGCTGGTGGCTAATCATTCATTTCTGTGCCAGTGACATATCACTGGGCACCTGTGAGCCACGAAGCTTGGTTTGAGGGCCTTTGTTCTTTCCGAATTAAAAGAATCTCTGAGCTGAGGGAACCACATCCAAGGGTGAGCAGAGTCTGATAAAATGACAGCAAAGCCAACTGCAGATCAAGTTTGATGTCCTAGGTAGGGGAAGCTCAGTCTTTTCAGCCCAAGAATCACATCCATAAAAAGTTACTGAGCCCCATGGGGAGCGACGCTATAATAAACTAGCATTATGGTTATGATGACATTATGATGACAAAGGCCCAGTGTCTTTTACAAGGACCCTGGTGACCCAATGCTTAAGCACTCAGCTGCTAACCGAAAGGTTGGCAACTCGAACTGACCAGTGGCTCCAAGGGAGAAAAGGCCTGGTGATCTGCTCCAGTAAAGATTATAGCCTAGAAAACCCTATAGGGCAGTTCTACTCTAACGTATAGGGTTGCCATGAGTCTGAATCGACTCGACAGCACACAACGACAACAGCATCTTTCTCAAGAGCTTATAGCCCAGCCAGAGAGACAGGCAAAGAGTTAATAAATGTCAAGTAAAAGGGCCAACTGTGTGGTATTGACATTACATGCTTTGAGTTTAGAAGAAAGAAAGAGGGTAGGGGCCTAGGATATGACCTAGGAGGGCTACCTGGAGGAGGAGGACTTGAAGAGTTGCAGGGGAGACTAGAGAGCTTTTAAAATGAAGGCAGTGGCTTAAGCAGAGGCCAAGAGGTGGGGCAGTTGGAAAGTGAGGTCAGGACAGGGGCCACCCTAAAGCAGGCAGCTACCCCTGGGAATCAGGGGCTGCCAGACCTGCCCTAACTGCCCTCCCCACCTGGGCAGCTGGCGTACATGGGCACCATCAGCATCGGAACGCCCCCTCAGGAGTTCAAAGTCATCTTTGACACTGGCTCTACTGACTTGTGGGTGCCCTCGATCTACTGCTACAGCCCCGCCTGTGGTGAGTGACCTGTCTCTGTTCCCACCGCGTGCCCCCCGCCCCCTCCTTCATCCTTGGCAGCCCTAACTGATGCCAACCCTTGTGTCCTCAGCCCACCACAATGTCTTCAACCCTCTGCGGTCCTCCACCTTCCAATTCTTGGGCCAGCCTCTCTCCCTTTCCTACGGCACCGGAAGTATGAAGGGATTTCTCGCCAGCGACACTGTGAAGGTAACACAGAAAACCAGAGGCTGAAGCAGAGGCGGCCCTGGGAGCCAGCTGCTGACACAGTGAGACCTGGCTTCCCTGGGAGCGCCCGTCTTTCCTGCCCCGTGGGGATGTGTCCCTGAGGGGTAGTGCCCTGCTGACCTGAAAATGTCTCCAGAGGCCTAACCCAGAATGTAGGACCGCCAGGCTGGTGGTCCTTGGGGGCAGTGGATTCGAAACTCCTTTCCCTACAGTTGGCACAAGGCCGATTTTTGCCAGGAGCATGGAGAGAGATGGGTAAACATAACCCGCTTTCTTTTTTTGTTTTTTCAATTGTAGTGAAAATATACACACCAAGGCATTCATCAACACAGCTTCCACATTTACAATTCAATGACATTGACGACATTTCTCATGTTAGACCACTATTAACGCTGTCCTTTTCCAACATGTTCCACCACCGCTAACGAAAACTCAATGCCCCCCAAACAGAAACTCACCCTTTCCCCCTTCCTCCCACCTCACGTAACCATTAAGAATCTTTGGCTTCTATTTATTTGCTTATTTCATATAAGTGAGATGGTACAGCATTTGTTCTTTTGTGACTGACTTATTTCACTCCGCATGGCGTTGTCAAGGTTCATTCATGTTGTGGCATGCATACATAGGGACTTCCTTTCTCTTTAGGGCTGCAAACTACTCCACTGTGAGTATATATACCATATTTCATTTCTCCATTCACCTGTTGATAGACCATTCAGTTGTTTCCACCTTTTGGCTATTGTAAAAAGTGCTGTAATGGACATTGGATTGGAGTTGCTGGGTCACATGGTAATTCTATATATATTCAATTTTTTGAAGAACAGCCAAACAGTTTTCCACGTGGCTGCATCATTTTACATTCCCATTAGCAATAGCTGAGGTTCCAGTTTCTCCACAACTTCGGGCAATGCTTGTTTTTGATCGTTACTATTTGAATGGGGGTGAGGTGATAGCTCAGTGTGGTTTGGACTCGCATCTGCCTACATTGTCGCTTTGAGTTGGAATGGATTCAAGGGCACTTAACAATGACAACAACAATGGCTAAAGATGTTAAGCAACTTTTCACATGCTTGTTGGTCATTTGAGTATCCTCTTTGGTGAACTGTCTGTTCAAGTCTTTCGCCCATTTTTTTGATTGGGTCGTTGTCTTTTTGTTGTTCAGTTGTAGAAGTTTTATATATATATATACTGGATAGCAGGCTCTTAGCTGATATATGGAGCTCTAGTGGCACAGTGGTTGAGAGCTACGGCTGCTAACCAAAAGGTTGGCAGTTTGAATCCACCAGTCATTGCTTGGAAACCCTATGGGGCAGTTCTACTCTGTCCCATAGGGTCGCTATGAGTCGGAATTGACTAGACGCCAATGGGTTTGGTTTTCTGGTTAGCTGATGTATGGTTTCCAAAAATTTTCTCCTGGTCTGTAGCTTGTCTTTTGATTTTGTTGATAAAGTCCTTTGATGCACAAAGGTGTTTAATTTTTGTGAGGTCTCATCTATTTTGTCTTTTGCTGCTCAAGCTTTTATTATTGTCTCTGATAATCTATTGCTAAACACTAAGTCCCACAGCCTTGTCCCTACATTTTCTTCTAAGAATTTTATGGTTTTAGTTTTCATATTTAGATCCCTGGTCCATTTTGAATTGGTTTTTGTGTATGCTGTGAGGCCTGGAACCTGATTAATTCTTCTGCATGTGGAAATCCAGTTTTCCCAGCACCTTTTATTGAAGAGACTCTTCCTTCCCCACTGAATGAACTTAGCACCCTTGTCAAAAATCAGTTGACCATAGAGCAACTGGATTTATTTCCAGCTTTCCATTCTATTCCACAGGTCTATATGTCTATTACTATACCAGCACCAAGCTGTTTTATTTACTGTAGATTTATAATGTGTTTTGAAATCAAGAAGTGTGAGTCCTCCTACCTTATTCTTCTGCATCAAGATTGCTTTAGCTATTTGGGGTCCCTTGCCTTTCTACATAAAGCAGAGGGTTGGCTTTTCCATTTCTGCAAACATCATCCACGTTTATACTCTTACTCTGTACCAAGTGCTTTACTGATATTAAGTTGTTTAATCTTCACAACAATCCCAATGGCAGGCACTATTATTATCTCCATTTTACAGATGAGGGAGCTGAGGTACAGAGAGGGTGAGTGCCCTGCACCACGTCACACAGCAAGTGAGAGGCAGAGCTGGGGTGTGAATCAGGATGCAGGCAGGTATGGGGTATTTTTAGGAGAGGGCAGAATTGGGCTGGGACCTCTGGGGCCCCTGCACCTGGGCAAGGAAAGCAGGGGCCCCAGATGCGGAGGGCCCTCATAAATGGGTTCTTACTTTTGGAGCATCTTAGTTACCTAGTGCTGCCGTAACACAAATATGACAAGTGGGTGGCTTTAAAGAACAGAAATTTATTTCCTCACAGTTCAGGAGGATTCCTTTCTTGCAGGTAGCTCCCAGAGGTCCTTGGTTTAGGATCCTCCCTACACTGATATGACCTCATTAACATTACCAAAGACAAGCCCTATTTCCAAACCAAGGGGTTGGGGAGGACACCATTTAATCCATAAAAGGGGCCAGAGGTGCATTTGAGAATCTAATAAAAATGATGGGCACACCTCCCCACAAAAGTGCCCAAGAATGTACACACGCACACACACACGCACACACATTTATACATATTTTCAGGGGTTCACGGCCTCCTGAAAGCCCACCATACATACACCACACACACATACAAACACACATCCATCCAAAGGAGTGATTCCCAGGCAGAATTGACACAAGAAACATGGCGGTTACATAGTATTAATGGGCTACTGTCTCCCCGGGCTGATGCTGAAAGTACAACCTTTGGAGTTTCCCATGAATCCAGTCCGTTTCTGTCATCGGATGGCAGAGATGCCAAAAGGAAGAACATCCTACTCTCTATGCATTTTGTTCTCCAGTGGGATCCATTTAGCCACATTCCGAGTCTCAGTTCCGCCACCTGTTAAAAACGAGCTTGGCTAACTTCAAATGACACGAGGGAGTTGCAGGTGTTGGGGAAAATCCACAGCACTGCACGAACGGAACCCACACGCTATTACTGCTTGTTATGATTGTCTGAGGGGCAGCCTGTGGCAGAGCCAAACGTCATTTCCTCTCTGTGGTGCTAGGAGTGTCTCTCACCCACTTCCACCCAAGCCAGCCCCAACCCCACCTCCCAAGGCTTTACACAGAAACACCGTCCTCTTCCACAGGTCACGGGGCTTCCCGAAGTGGTCCAGGAGTTTGGCCTGAGCATCCAGGAGCCTGGCCAATTCATGGACTCCGTGCCCTTCGATGGCATTCTGGGATTGGCCTACCCCACTCTCGGCATCAGAGGGACAACCCCCTTCTTTGACAACCTGTGGAGACAAGGCCTCGTTTCTCAGGGTCTCTTTGCCTTCTACTTGACCAAGTAAGTGTGGGCAAAAACAGAAAAAAACAGTTGCCATCGAGTTGATTCTGGGTAGAACTGTGCCCCACAGGGTTTTCAATGGTTAATTTTTCAGAACTTGGTCACCAGGCCTTTCTTCCAAGGTGCCTCTGGGTGGACTCAAACCTCTAAGCTTTCAGATGCAGCCGAGCATGTTAACCTTATGCACCGCTCAGGGACTCCTGAGTCTGGGCTAGACGAGCCCTTTCTCCAATGTGGTTGTATGAAAAGTCATAGAGCAGCTATCTGATCCAGAAGTTTCTTTAGAGATAGTCTAGTCCAGGCGTTGGCAAACTATGGTCCATAGGCCAAATCCAGCCTGGTACCTTTTTTTGTATATGAAGTTTCACTGGAACACAGCCATGTTCCTTCATTCACATATTATCTGTGGCTGCTTTTGTGCTACAACAGCAAAGCTGACTAGTTGCCATAGACATCATATAGCCCGCACAACCTAAAATATTGACTGTCTGGCCCTTTCCAGGAAAAGTTTGCTGATCCCTGTTGTCCCCAAGCCCTTCATTCAACAGATGGGGAAACTGAGGCTTAGAAAAGGGCTTGCACAAGATGGCTCAGTCTGGTACTGGGAGTGGCAGGACTCGAACTCAGCCCTCGGGACTCTCCCCCACTGGGCTTGGGTAGCAGGAAAAGCTGAAGTCCCCTGGCTGCTGAGGGTCTGGTGAGGGGCAGAGGAGTAGGGAGAAGCACAGATAAGAAGAGGGCCCTGTTGATGGGCTGTGTCGTCTTGCCAAAGGCAGTGATTGAGCCCACAGATCCATGTAGGAGGCAGGAGAGTGTGGTGGTTAAGGCTGTGGGCTCAGGAGGGGACCTGAGTTCAAATCCTAGCTCCATAGCATGAATTTCAATTATTTAACTTCTCTAAGCCTCAGGAGCCCTGGTAGTGTAGTGGTTTAGAGCTCAGCTCTAAACGTCAGCAGGTTGGATCCACCAGCCGCTCCTTGGAAACCCTATGGGGGCAGTTCTACTCTGTCCTATAGGGTTGCTGTGAGTCAGAATCGACTAGAGGGCAATGGGTTAAGCCTCAGGAATAAATGCACCCAATCACGGGGGGGGGACTTATTCAACAAAGATGTACTGAGCGGGCACCTAGTATGTGCTCTGTACATGTGAAGGAGGTCGAGAAGGGAGAGAGAAGGCAGACAAGAAATATGTAATAAATAAATGAAAGATGCTTCTGGACAGTCAGTGGTTCTGTGAGAGCAAGTAAACAGGGTCCGAGAAGAGACAGAGAGCAGGGTGTGGTTTAGGTGGGCAGCCACAGCCTCTCTGAGGATGTGGTTTCAGAGCTGAGAGCTCCGTGATGGGAAAGAGTCAGGCCTGAGAAACGAAGTTCAAGGTGGAGGGAAGAGCAAGGGCAAAGGCCAAAGGAGGAAAAACCTGGGGTGTCATGCAGCAAGGGGGCCACTGGGGCCGGAGCACGCAGGGGATGGGGTTGGGGAGGGAGGCAGGGCAAAGCCACCCTTGGCCTTTGTTGTCTGGGAGGGGGTAACCCAGGAAGAGACATCTGGTTTATGTTTTCAGAAGCTCACCCGAGTACTCCATGCTTGCTGGAGAATGTCTGATTGGGCACAGAGCGGAGGCAGGGAGGCCAGCGAAGGGGCTGCAGCAGGAGTTCAGGAGAGAGATGGTGGCAGCTTGGACCAGGATGGGGCGAGGGAGAAGGAATCAGGCTCTATTTTGAAGGAAGAGCCGACAGGATGTGGAAGGAGAAGGACAAGTGGGGATGTTGCCTCCCTCCCTAGGATGTTACCATGAGCACAGGACCGACCGCATCCTTTGCAGGGCCCAGTGCCAAATGGAAACATGGGACCATAGTTCAAAAAGAACTAAGAACTTCAAGTGCAGGGCAAGTGTGGAGCCCTTGCAATCGATCAGGTCACGGGTACATGAGCAGGCCCTGGGGGAGCCTGAAGGACGGGATCTTAACCCTTCAGCCCCCTCAGACCTCGGTTACTTTTTCTGAAGGATGACAGGCCAGACAAGGTGAAGGTCTGCCCCTGCGGGCCCTGTGACCTCTGAGGTTCCACCCTGGTTCCTGGCAGGGCCTAGCCCTCTTCAGAGGAGTGGGGTGTTTGAGTCCAGATCTGAAGGCAGGCGGCCAGGTTCACATCTCAGCTTCATCTCTCTTTAGACGTGTGACTGACCTTGGGCAGGTACCTAACCCCTCCTTGTCTCAATTTCCCCAATAAAATAAAGTGGGGTCACAGTAGGGCCTACTCCATAGGTGTGGGAGTGTATGGACGGAGTGAGCAGCGATCAGCAAAGCTCCTAGAACAGTGCTTGGCGTGTGTTGCACTTGGAAACTGTTCTTCCCTCACAATGAGCTTTCCTCTTCCCCTTCAGCGAGGAAAAGAACAGCAGTGTGGTGATGTTCGGTGGGGTAGACCCAGCCTACTACAAGGGAGAACTTAACTGGGTGCCGGTGACCAGACCCTTCTTCTGGCAGTTTACCGTAAGCAGGTAAGAGCCTCCCTCTGATTCCTGCCCCAAGTGAGGCTCTCCACACAGACTCAGACATACAGACACACACAGATGCACACACTCACACACACACAATCACACACACACAGACACATACCTTTACACACACAATCACACACAGCCATAGACATACAGACATACTATAACACACACATACAGATGCAATCACTGACACAGACATACAGACGCACACACAGACACACATCATTACACACAATCACACAGACACACACACATACGGACACACACTGTTACACACACATACAGACACATAATCACACACCGATGCACACAGACACATATACAGACACACACAATCACACACATATACAAACACACTATCACACACATACAGATACACACAATCACACACAGAGATACAGACATACAGACACACACCATTACACACACACAGATGCATGCATACACATACACAGACATACATACACGCACACACATATGCATACACACATAGACACAATCACACAGTCACACACACAGACGCATACACACACACATCATCCGTGGGTTGGTAATCCCTCCTGACAAGGTCAGGCCTGAGTCTTGGAGCATGAAGAGAAGGGGAAAGGGAGGCCGGCAGGCCTGGGGGAGCTGACATCTCTTCAGGAAAGAAGCACATGCCCATGTGGGAAAGGCCTGCCCCAGACGTGGGGATGGGGGCGAGAAGCACGGTCTGAGGACCCTAAACGGTAGGTTAAAAGGAGACCAGAGAGAATTGTACCAGTCAGAACAGGACTATGAGAGGACATGAAAGTCCCTTTAGCACGAGGGACTCTCAGTTGGAAAACAGGAAAAGTCCTGGGCAAACCTAGGGAGAAGATGCCCGGCAGTGGAAAGCTGTCCGCTTCACTCACAAGATCAGAAAGCAAATCACTCAAAAGAACACCCCACCCTACCCCACATAGTGGGGTGGGGGCCTATGACAGAGAGAATTAGGGACCTGGAAATCCAAGAGTGGCCAGAGAACATGGGGACAATAATTGACGGTTTCCGCGTGACAAAAGCTAAAAGCGTCCTTTGGAGGCTTCCATAGCAGTTCACCTTTCCCTTGGGGTACCTCTGGCTTTTCTTGACTGGCTTCCAGAGGGCCTGAATCCCTCCCCACCCCTACGTAGCTGGGAGGCTGCTGGGCAGACAGCTTCTTCCAAAATACACCATGGCTCCCCTCCCTCCACTCTGAGCATCGGGCACTGCAGCCCAGGAGAACCTCCATCTTGGCTCTGTGGGCCCCGTAGTTGGTCAGACCCTGGTCCCAGGTCTCTGGTTGTCCCTCACTCATTTGTTCGTTCCTTCATTCATTCAACAAACATGTTCAGCAACCGCTGTGTGCTACGCACTCGAGAGAGGCACAGATATAATCTGCTCTTACAGACCTCACCACATAGCAGGGCAAGATGTACATGAAATGGTCACATCAATAATCCCTTACTTTGATACATGCTAGAAACAAGTATGGGTATGATGGGGGCAACCAGGAGAGGAGCCTGATCTAGTGTATGGGGAAGACTTCTTAAGCAAGAACCTGGAGAGTGAGGAGAAGTTAGCCACACAAAGAGGATTGGGGGCATTTCTAGGCAGGGAGATCAGCATGTGCAAAGGTCCAGAGGCACAAAGGAGCTTGGTTCATTCAAGAACCGAAAGGTCAGAGAAGGTCAGTGTGACCAGAACAACAGGAAACAGAGAGAGGGAGGCATGAGCTGAAGGGCTGTCCTGGAGACAGCTAGGGGAGAGGGCCATGGAGCCGGTGGGCTGTAAGTGATCCCAGTGCCTGCTTTGTCTCCCGTCTCTCAGCATCTCCATGAACGGAGCGGTTATTGGCTGTGACAGTGGCTGCCATGCCATTTTGGATACTGGAACCTCTTTGGTGACTGGACCACCTGAACCTATCTTCAACATCCAGAGGATTATCAATGCCAGGCAGTCCTATGGTGGCGAGGTACCGGCTCATTCCAAAGGGTCATTCTGGGGCTGTCCACACATGGAGACGTCAGCTGGGCCAACCTTCTCCCTTTCTCTTTCTCTGACAGTACATCATGGACTGTGAAGCCATTAACACGCTCCCTGACATCATCATCACCATCAATGGCGTCGACTACCCATTGCCAGCCAGTGCCTACATTCGGCAGGTGAGGGGCAGGGCCCTGGGGGCTGATCCTCAAATCCTGGAACTTGCCAGAATTGTTGGACGAAGGCTGGGAGGAAGAGGCCCCCTGGAGGCCAAGCCATGCCATTGCAGGCATGGCTGGGCCCACCTGGCTGGGCTGGCTCCTCCCACAAAACAAATACCCTGATAGCAAGGGGCAGTCTGGGACACTCATCACCCGCAGATAAATGCTGAGCAGTCATCACATGCCAGGCACAGTGCTAGGTATAATGGGGGGGGGGGAAGGGACACTAAGGACACAGTCCCCAAAGAGCACCAGTTCAACCAGGAAGCTCAGATGAATGAACTTGGAAAGTTAGCGGTAGCAGTCCCTGAAATGGGCCAAAGAAATAGAGACAGAGTTGACCAGCGACAGTCCTGGTATGTTGTCCCACCATAACTATTAACAGTGCCCCCCTTCCCATCTCAAAATTGTCCTGGTCTGGGTGATACATTATATGGTCACCCTAGTAACTTTACCTTGCTAAGCCTCAGCTCCCTTCTCAGTAAAACGTGGTAACGGCCTCTCCCTTTGTAGGGCAGTTAGGATGTTGACACAAAAAAGGATGCACAGTGGTCCCACAGTACCTGGCACATAATTGACACTTTATAAATGTCAATTTCCCATGGGTGTTCAGAGCAATCTGGGTGGGGTCAAACGCTTTGATGAAGAGAGGGTATTTAAACAATTCTAGCCTTAATTGACGAGTCTCTGGGAGGTGCAGATGGGTTAAGAGCTCAGCTACTAACCAAAAGATTGGCAATTCAGTCTTTTGAGGTGCCACCCAGAGGTACCTCGAGAGAAAGGCCTGGCAATCTACTTCCAAAAGATCACAGCCATTGAAAACCCTACGGATCACAGTTCTATTCTGAAACACAAAAGAGTCACCATGAGTCAGAATTGACTCATGGCAACTGGTTTGTTTTTAAGCTTAATAAATGGGGCTGCTGCCACCCAGCCCCACAGAGGAGGCCTCTTCAGTGGAGTGTAGGTTCTAGACTGGGCTTCAGCAGGATACCCCCCTCCCCTTCACCGCCCCCATTCCACGTTGTTGGACAACACAGCCGCCCCAAGCAGACAAGTTGGCAGGCTGGGGCAATACAGCGTGATGAGGGCTGCAGTCTCGGGAAGCACCAGGTACAGGGGAGCACCGAGGAAAGTCACTTCACCCAGCCTCGCGTGGCTTTGAAGGGCGGACATAGTCCAGGAAGCCTGCCTGGAAGGGGTGACTAGGGCTCGGTCTTGAAGAATGAGTGGAAGTAAAGGGGAGAAGGACAGGCATTTTCTGCAGGTAGAATAGCCTGAAGAAGGGCCAGGAGGAAAGAAACCGCAGAGTGTGAGGGGTACTATGAGTGGTGCCAGTTCCTGCGTGGGCCACCCACTTCCGCACCTGCCGAAGAGAGCTACTTGGCACATAGAGAAGGAGGGAAATCAAACTGGGAAACTGTGCGACTGAAATACTGGATCCTGAATGGGGTTGAGTGGCACGTTCGGCTGAAGCTGAGAATTTCTGTCTTCTCCAGGAGCATACAGGCATTTGCTACAGCAACTTCCTGGCGACACCCGGTAACTTATCCCGGGAGATCTGGATTCTGGGGGACGTCTTCCTGAGGCTGTATTTCTCCGTCTTCGATCGGGAAAACAACAGGATTGGCCTGGCGCCTGCAGCGTGAATCTGGTCTCCTCCAGGGAGCAACCCGGCCCACGCTAAACACATGCATGGGAGGGATGCCCGCCCAGGGGAGCCGATTTGAACTGTGTTCAGTGCTGTACAAAGCCCCATTCTCAGTGGAGAATATTTTATTTTAATTATGCTAATGATAACGATTGCTTCTGTTTGGGTGGGGAGGTGCTTCAGAATGAGGCAGGACTCTACAAGCTGGAGTCTAGACCACAACGCCCATCAGCTTAAATGGAAAGCCGGGCTTATTTGAAGGACACTGGGGTGGCTGAAGGAGCCAGGGCAGATCCATAGAGCTCACTCCTTCCCTTCTCTCCTCTTTGCCTGACAACTTTCTTCTCTCAGGCCTCCACTCTTGGTGGAGGACTTTACCCCCTTGCCTGCCTCTAAGTTGAACATTCGAAGACTTCTAACCTACAAGGCAAGACGCTCAGAAAGTACCGGGTTACCGGCGAGGACTGTAATTGGTCCACCTCAGGTCATGTGTCCATCTCTGGGCCAATCATCATGGCCGTGGGATGGAGTGCTATGATTGGCTCTACTTGGTCAGGTGGCCGCCCGTGTGATCAGGAAGTGATTGGCGGTTTCCTACAGATCACAAAACGGGAGCTGGGGAGGGCCCCTCCCCAAAGAAGGGGGTGGCTGTGGACGCAGGAAGTAAAAGTGTTTCTCAACCGATGTCTGCTACGCTGCGCTTTCAGAGGGATGGTGTTATGAATTGTGCCCCCACCCCCCAAAAAATGTGTTGGAATTCTAACTCCTATGCCTGTGGATGTAATCCTATTTGAGAATAGGGTTTTCTTTGTTATGTTAATGAGGCCATATCAGTGTAGGGCGTGTGGTAAACCTGATAACTTTTGAGATATAAAAAAAGCGGATTAGACACAGAGAAAAGCAAGCACAAATGAGGGAAAGATAGATGTCACGTGGAGATCTCCAAGGAACACCAAGGAAGAACACTAGAGAAGCTGAGACGAAGATTTTCCCCCACAGTGGACACAGAGAGCCTTCCCCTAGAGATGGTGTCCCGAATTCTGACTTCTAGCCTCCTAAACTGTGAGACAATAAATTTTTGTTCTTTAAAACCACCCACCCGTGGTACTTTTATTACAGCAGCACTAGGTAACTAAGGCAGAGGGTAAAGAATAATAAAAATGGAATCTATTCTTACCATCGTCAAAGGACCTTTTGACAATGGCCTTCTGCTCAAGGTGGGCTGTGGGTGAGGCCCTTCAAACTGGGATGGCTCCACCCTGGCCGGCAACAACAAGGCAAGCAAAGGACTCCAGCCATCATTCTCTGCCACCTGTACCTGCAGTGTCCCGTCCAGTTCTGTGCTTGAGTGGCAGACCTATGTGGACCCCTGAGACATCCCCATCCCTCAAATGCCCAGCATGGCCATTCCCATGGCTTCAAAGACTGTCTCGGGGAGGCAGTCTCTCATATAAAGCAGGACCCAGGGTGGGCAAAGCCTTCATCCTTCCAGAACATGCCATGAATTCCCCTGAGTGTCCTCTTGGGGTACAGCTAGGGTTTGGGAAGTTTGGACCAAAAAAAAAAGAAATTAAGCTTGTTGCCATCAAGTCAATTCCGACTCATGGCAACCCCATGTGTTACAAAGTAGAACTGCTCCATAAGGTTTTCTTGAATGTAATCTTTATGGAAGCAGATCACCAGGACTTTTCTTCTGCAGTGCCACTGGGTGTATTAGAACTGCCAACCTTTAAGCTATCAGTTGAGCACAAACTGTTTACGCCTCCCAGGGACCTCAAACAATAAATATAAAAAACTGGGCTTAATGGAGACTCAAGTGATCAGTTTATTTATTTATAAAACCCTTTTACTAGGTCTTCATGGATCCATAAGCAATGTCTCTTTTGGTCAGAATCCACCAATATGAGTAAAAATAATGGCTCCAATTGACTTATTGGGGACTTTACATATGGTATTTCATTGTCTCCATATAACCCCTGCAAAGCAGGTAATGTTGTTGCCATCGTAAAGATGACAGAGGTCTCCTTGGATCTGTCTGGCTCTAGACACATAATACCAGTTGCCATGGAGGCAACTCTGACTCATGACAACCCTGTGTGCGTCAGACTAGAACTGCACTCCATAGGTTTTCCAATGCATGAGATGCATTGACCAGGAATCCAACCCAAGTCTCCCACATGGAAGGAGATGATTGGGACTGAATGAATTAATCTGTATATGTATATATATAGTAGCGTAGCTATTACTATTATACACATACACCAGAAAACAATTGCAACCAAAGGTTAACAGTGGTTATATCCAGTACGTCTTCTTATATTGCTTTCCTTAGTTTCCTCAATGGTTGCTTTTAAAATCCGGGGGAAAGTGAAACATTATTTTAAGAGAGACAAAGAGATAGCCAATGGAGAGGGGACCGTTTGCTGGGGTTGCCTGAGTTCCTGCTGAAGCAATCTATTTCCTGTAGAAAAGTCACCCCAAGCAGAGTGTCAGTGAAAGGCTGACACCTGGTGGCCGAGGAGGCTATTACAGACAGACAGACAGACAGACAGACAGACAGACACACACACACACACACACACACACACACTCACACACACACACACACACACACACTCCTTGTATGTTCTTACCCTTTGCTAGTGGCCCTGCCCATTAGTTCTATCTTCTTGGAGGATTATTTAGCAATATGAAACCACTGCCACATAAATTACGTTTAGACCTGCTAATTCCACGTTGACAGAGTGGTGTGGGTGTAGTTATTCTGAAGCTATTACGTGTTCATTGTGGAGTTGAACAGAATAGCAAATACACTGATGTTGTTGGGAGCCAGGGTTCTCACTGAGGGAGAAGGAAGATACAAATACGAGTGGGGAAAAACAAGTAAGAAGCCTGTGGTGTTGAATCGGAATCAAAGGTAGTGGTATGAACGAGCACACCTAGAGCTCAGAGCTTGGATTCTATACTCCTTTCCCCATTAAAATGAACCAGAACTCCTTGGAGAAATGGCTGCTTCCAGGACTGGAACAGGGAAAGAACAAGGTGAGCCTGGGGTATCTTATTGCACCAGAAAATAAGGAAATTGCCCAAAAAATGCTGGGACGTGTCAAAAGGATACGGAATGAATGGGGAAAGAATAGTCTCTTCAACAAATGGTACTGGGAAAGCTAGATATCCACATGCAAAAGAATGAAGTTGGACTCTTATACCAGTACCATACCAGTTGCTGTTCAGTCAATTCCAATTCATGGCAAGCCCATATGTGTCAGAGTAGAACTGTGCTCCATAAGGTTTACAATGGCTGATCTTTTGGAAGTAGATTTCCAGGCCTTTCTTCCAAGGTGCCTCTGGCTGTACTCAAACCTCCAACTGTTTGGTTAGCAGCCAACTGGTTGACCGTTTGCACTACCCAGGGACTCTTACATTACACCATATACAAAAAATGAACTCGAAATGGATCAAGACCTAAATTTAAGAGCTGAAACTATAAACCTCTTAGAAGAAAAAGGGGAAAATCTTCATGACTTCAGATTTGGCAATGGTTTCTTAAATATGACACCAAAAACACGGCAACAAAAGAGAAAAATAGATCAATTGGACATCATCAAAATTTAAAACTTGTGCGTCAAAGCGCACTATCAAGAGAGTAAAAAGATAAACCACAGAATGGGAGAAAATATTTAAAAATCATATATATGATAAGGTTTGAAGATCCAGAATATATAAAGAACTCCTACAACTCAACAACAAAGACAAACAATCCAATTTAAAAATGGGCAAAGGGCTTGAATAGACATTTCTCCCAAGAAGATATAAAATGGCTAATAAGAACATGAAAAGATGCTCAACATTATTAGTCATTAGAGAAACGCAGATCTAAGTCACAATGAGATACCCCTTCACACCTCCTAGGATGGCTATAAAAAAAAAGACAATAACAAGCGTTAATGAGAATGTGAAGAAATTAGAACTTCATACATTGCTGGTGGAAACGTTAAATGGTGCAGCTACAGTGGAAACAGTTTGACAATTCCTCAAAACGTTAAATATAGAATTACCATAAAAAACCCATTGCCGTCTAATCAATTCCAACTCATAGGGACCCTATAGGACAGAGTAGAACTGCCCTATAGAGTTTTCAAGGAGCAGCTGGTGCATTTGAACTGCCGACCTTTTGGTTAGCAGCCAATCTCTTAACCACTGCACCACCAGGGCTTCTAGAATTACTATATACTCAGCAATTCTAAGTATAACAAAAAAAAGAAAAACTAAACCTGTTGTCATTGAGTCGATTCTGACTCTTAGTGACCCTATAGGACAGAGTAGAGCTGCCCCACAGAGTTTCCAAGGAGAGCCTAGTGGATTCAACCTGGCGACCCTTTGGTTAGCAGCCACAGCACTTAACCACAATGCCACCAGGGTTTCCCCTAAGTGTTTAGGGATACCCAAAATACTTGAAAACAGATGCTTGTACACCAGTGTTTATAGCAGCATTATTCACGGTAGCCAAAAGTTACCAGTGTCAATCAACAGATGCAGAGATAAGCCAAATGTGGTATATACATGCAATGGAATAATGGAATATTACCAACTATTAAAGTAATGGAATATTATTCTGGTACATGCTACAACATGGATGAACTTGAAAACATTATCCTAAGTGAAATAAGACAAATATTGTATGATGCCACTTATATGAAATATCTGCAATAGGCAAATTCATAGACACAGAAAGTGGATTCGAGGTTACCAGGGTCTGGGGTTCGGGAAATGGGGGTATATGGCTGAATGGTTACAGAGTTTCTATTTGAGGTGATGGAAGAATTTTGGAAAGAGATAATGGTGATGGCTGCACAACTTTGTGAATGCAATTAATGCCACCGATTGTACACTTAAAAATGGTTAAAATGGCAAATGAATGGACTCCACAGCACCTAACAGCAACTACAGGAAAAATAGAAACAAGAATTTAGGTAATACTGTCCTCTTTACTATGTTGAGTCTTCCAATTCTTGGAAGTCTTCTCTGTTTATTTAGGTTCTTTGAATTCGTTCCTCAGCATTTTCAGCACACAGATTCTGTACGTGTTTTGGTAGATTTATACCTGAGTATTTCACTTTCTTGCTAATCATTTTTAGCACCCCCGTCTCTTAAAAATTTATGAGGTTGAATGGTAAATTATACAATCATGCCCTCAAGCATTCTAATGTGTTTAATGCGGACTCTTTGCTTTGTATGTGTTCTAGTAAAATACAGAGGATTGTTCTGTACATATATTTTTTAAGATACGTATACGGTATTGTGCTGTATACCCCATTCTCTTTTGTCCTGTCTTCACTCAGCTCTACGTTTTTAAAGTCTATCCACCTCACTGTGTACACACCGATAGATTGCTGCTAGCCCCTGGTGTCTCAACATACCTTTTGAGGTCCTTTCACCCTGCTGAGGAGTCCCTGGGTGGCGCAAATGATTAAGCGCCGGACTACTAACCCAAAGGTTGGCAGTTCAAACCCACCCAGAGTTACCTTGGAAGTAAGGCCTGGCAATGTGCTACGGGAAGGTCACAGCGTTGAGAACCCCTTGGAATGCAGTTCTACTCTGCCCACATGGGGTCGCCGTGTGTCAGAATCGACTTGACAGCAACGAACAGTGACGACCACAATCACCCTGCTGCATCGTCTTCCCAGGGCCTGCTGTAACAAAATACCAAAACGAGGTGGTTTATGCGAACAGAGAAATTACTGTCTCACAGGTTCGGAGGCTGGGAGTCCAAGATCAGGGAAGTAGACATATTGATTTCTTCCGAGGCTTCGAGGGAGAATCTGTTCCACATGGA